CTCTTGGACCAGGCAAGCTCCTGGACCAAGCAAGCTCCTGGACCAGGTAAGCTCCTGGACCAGGCAAGCTCCTAAACCAGGCAAGCTCCTGAACCAGGCAAGCTCCTTAACCAGGCAAGCTCCTGGACCGGGCACGCTCGTGGACCAGGCACGCTCTTGGACCAGGCAGGCTCGTGGACTAGGCACGCTCCTGGACCACGCAAGCTCCTAGACCAAGCAAGCTCCTAGACCAGGCAAGCTCCTAGACCAGGCAAACTCGTGGACGAGGCACGCTCGTGGACCAGGCAAGATCCTGGACCAGGCAAGCTCGTGGACCAGGCAAGCTCCTGGACCAGGCACGCTCCTGGACCAGGCAAGCTCCTAGACTAGGTAAGGTCCTGCACCAGGCAAGCTCCTGGACCAGGCAAGCTCGTCGACCATGCACGCTCCTGGACCAAGCAAGCTCCTAGACCAGGCAAGCTCGTGGACCATGCAAGCTCTTCGACCAGGCAAGCTCTTGGACCAGGCTAGCTCCTTGACCAGGCAAGCTCCTGGACCAAGCAAGCTTGTTGACCAGGCACGCTCCTGGACCAGGCAAGCTCCTAGACCAGGCAAGCTCCTGGACCAGGCAAGCTCCTGGACCAGGCAAGCTCCTAGACCAGGCAAGCTCGTGGACCAGGCAAGCTCCTGGACCAGGCAAGCTCCTGGACCAGGCAAGCTCCTAATCCAGGCAAACTCGTGGACCAAGCACACTCCTAGACCAGGCAAGCTCCTGGACCACGCAAGCTCCTGGACCAGGCAAGCTCTTGGACCACGCATGCTCCTGGACCAGGCAAGCTCCTAGACCAGGCAAGGTCCTGGACCAGGCAAGCTCCTGGACCAGATAAGCTCCTGGACCAGGCAAGATCCTGAACCAGGCAAGCTTCTGGACCAGGCAAGCTCCGAGACCAGGCACGCTCGTGGACCAGGCACGCTCGTGGACCAAGCACACTCTTGGACCAGGCAAGCTCCTGGACCAGGCAAGCTCCTGGACCAGGCACGCTCCTGGAATAGGCAAGCTCCTAGACCAGGCAAGCTCCTAGACCAGGCAAGCTCCTAATCCACGAGCTTGCCTGGTCCAGGAGCTTGTCTGGTCCAGGAGCTTGTCTGGTCCAAGAGCTTGCCTGGTCCAGGAGCTTGCCTGGTGCAGGTACTTGACTGGTCTAGGAGCTTGCCTGGTCCAGGTGCTTGCCTGGTCCACGAGCTTGCCTGGTGCACGAGCTTGCCTGGTCTAGGAGCTTGCCTGGTCAAGGAGCTTGCCTGGTCAAGGAGCTTGACTAATCTAGGAGCTTGCCTGGTCCAGGAGCTTGCCTGGTCCAGTAGCTTGCCTGGTCCAGGAGCTTGCCTGGTCTTGGAGCTTGCCAGGTCCACGTGCTTGCCTGTTCCATGAGCTTGCCTGGTGCATGAGCTTTCCTGGTCCAGGAGTTTGCCTGGTCCAGGAGCTTGCTGAATCTTGGAGCTTGCCTAGTCTAGGAGCGTGCGTGGTCCACGAGCTTGCCTAGTCCAGGAGCTTGCCTGATCCAGGAGCTTGCCTGGTCCAAGAGCTTGCTTGGTCCAAAAGATTGCGTGGTCCAGGAGCTTGCCTTCTCCAGGAGCTTGCCTTGTCCACGAGCGTGCCTTGTCCAGGAGCTTGCCCAGTCCAGGAGCGTGCCTGGTCCACGAGCCAGCCTGGTCCAAAAGCTTGCCTGGTCCAGGAGCATGCCTGGTCCACGAGCGTGCCTGGTCTCGTAGCTTGCTTGGTCTAGGAGCTTGCCTAATCCAGGCGCTTGCCTGGTCCAGAAGCTTGCCTGGTCTAGGAGCTTGCCTGGTCCAGGAGCTTGCCTGGTCCAGGAGCTTGCTTGGTCCAGAAGCCTGCTTGGTCCAAGAGCTTGCCTAGTCCACGAGCATGCCTGGTCCAAGAGCTTGCGTGGTCCAGGAGCTTGCCTGGTCCAGGAGCTTGCCTGGTCCAGGAGCTAGCCTGGTCGAGGATCTCGCTTGGACCAGGAGCTTGCGTGGTGGAGGAGCTTGTCTGGTCCAGGAGCTTCCTTTGTCCACAAGCTTGCCTGGTCCAAGAGCTTGCATGGTATAGGAGCTTGCCTGGTCCAAGAGCTTTCGTGGTCCAGGATCGTGCCTGGTCCACGAGCGTGCCTGGTCCAGGAGCTTGCGTGGTCCAGGAGCTTGTTTGGTCCAGGAGCGTGCCTTCTCCACGAGCCTGCCTGGTCTAAGAGCTTGCCATGTCCAGGAGCGTGCCTGGTCCACGAGCGTGCCTGATCGAGGAGCTTGCTTGGTCTAGGAGCTTGCGTGGTCCAGGAGCTTGCCTTATCCAGGAGCGTGCCTGGTCTAGGAGTGTGCCTGGTCCAGGAGCTTGCTTGGTCCAGAAGCCTGCCTGGTCCAAGAGCTTGCCTGGTCCAGGAGCGTGCCTGGTCCAAGAGCTTGCATGGCCTAGGAGCTTGCCAGGTCTAGGAGCGTGCCTAGTCCAGAAGCTTGCCTGGTCAAGGAGCTTGCCTGGTCCAGGAGCTTGCCTGGTACAGGAGCTTGCCTGGTCCACGAGCCTGCCTGGTCCACGAGCCTGCCTGGTCCAAGAGCATGCCTGGTCCAAGAGCGTGCCTGGTCCACGAACTTGCCTAGTCCAGGAGCTTGCCTCGTCCAGGAGCTTGCCTGGTCCAGAAGCTTGCCTGGTGCAGGAGCTTGCTTGGTCCAGGAGCTTGCCTGGTCCAAGAGCTTGCATAATTGAGAAGCTTTCCTGGTGCAGGAGCTTGCCTTGTCCAGGAGCGTGCCTAATCCATGAGCTTGCCTGGTCCAAGAGCTTGTCTGGTCCAGGAGCTTGTCTGGTCCAGGAGCTTGCCTAGTCCAGGAGCTTGCCTGGTCCAGGTGCTTGCCTGGTTTACGAGCTTGCCTGGTGCACGAGCTTGCCTGGTCTAGGAGCTTGCCTGGTCCAGGAGCTTGCCTGGTCAAGGAGCTTGCCTAATCTAGGAGCTTGCCTGGTCCAGGAGCTTGCCTGGTCTAGGAGCTTGCCTGGTCCAGGAGCTTGCCAGGTCCAGGTGCTTGCCTGGTCCACGAGATTGCCTAGTGCACGAGCTTGCTTGGTCCAGGAGCTTGTCTGGTCCAGGAGCTTGCCTTGTCCACGAGCTTGCTTGGTCCAGGAGCTTGCCTGGTCCAGGAGCGTGCCTAGTCCACGAGCTTGCCTAGTCCAAGAGCTTGCCTGATCCAGGAGCTTGCCTGGTCCATGAGCTTGCCTGGTCCAAGAGCTTGTTTGGTCGTGGAGCTTGCCTTGTCCAGGAGCTTGCCTTGTCCACGAGCGTGCCTGGTCCAGGAGCTTGCCTGGTCTAGGAGCTTGCTTGGTCCAAGAGCTTGCCTAGTCCAGGAGCCTGCTTGGTCAACGAGCCTGCCTGGTCCAAGAGCTTGCCTGGTCCAGGAGCGTGCATGGTCCATGAGCGTGCCTGGTCCAGGAGCTTGCTTGGTCCAGGAGCTTGCCTGGTCCAGGAGCTTGGCTGGTCTAGGAGCTTGCCTGTTCTAGGCGCTTGCCTCGTGTAGGAGCTTGCCTGGTCTAGGAGCTAGCTTGGTCCAGGAGCTTCCCTGGTCCATGAGCTTGCTTAGTCCAGAAGCCTTCCTGGTCCAAGAGCTTGCCTGGTCCACGAGCATGCTTGGTCCAAGAGCTTGCGTGGTCCAAGAGCTTGCCTGGTCCAGTAGCTTGCCTGGTCCAGGAGCTAGCCTGGTCTAGGATTCTGCCTGGACCAGGAGCTTGCCTTGTGCAGGAGCTTGCCTGGTCCAAGAGCTTCCTTGGTTCAAAAGCTTGCCTGGTCCAAGAGCTTGCCTTGTCCAGGAGCGTGCCTGGTCCAAGAGCTTGCGTGGTCTAGGAGCTTGCCTGGTCCAGGAGCTTGCCTGGTCCAGGATCCTGCCTGGTCCATGAGCGTGCTTGGTCCAGGAGATTGCCTAGTCTAGGAGCTTGCCTGGTCCAGGAGCTTGCCTGGTCGAGGAGCGTGCCTAGTCCACGAGCCTGCCTGGTCTAAGAGCTTGCCTGGTCAAGGAGCGTGCCTGGTCCACGAGCCTGTCTGATCTAGAAGCTTGCTTGGTCCAGCAGCTTGCCTGGTCCAGGAGCTTGCCTTGTTCAGGAGCGTGCCTGGTCTAGGAGTGTGCCTGGTCCAGGAGCTTGCTTGGTCCACAAGCCTACCTGGTCCAAGAGCTTGCCTGGTCCAGGAGCGTGCCTAGTCCAAGAGCTTGCCTGGTCTAGGAGCTTGCCTGGTCCAGGAGCTTGCCTAGTCCAGAAGCTTGCCTGGTCAAGAAGCTTGCCTGGATCAGGAGCTTGCCTGGTCCTGGAGCTTGCCTGGTCAACGAGCCTGCCTGGTAAGCTCTTGGACCTGGCAAGCTCTTGGACCAGGAAAGCTCCTGGACCAGGCAAGCTCCTTGACCAAGCAAGCTAACGGACCAAGAAAGATCCCGGACAAGGCAAGCTCCTGGACCAGGCAAGCTCCTGGACCAGGCATGCTCCTGGACCAGGCAAGCTCGTGGATAAGGCACGCTCCTGGACCAGGCAAGCTCCTGCACCAAGCAAGCTCCTCGAACATGCAAGCTCCTAGACCAGGCAAGCTCTTGAACCAGGAAAGCTCTTGGACCAGGAAAGCTCCTGGACCAGGCAAGCTCCTGAACCAGGCAAGCAACTTGACCATGCAAGCTTCTGGACTAGGCAAGCTCCTGGACCAGGCAAGCTCCTAGACCAGGCAAGCTCTTGGACTAGGCACGCTCCTGGACCAGGCAAGCTCTTGGACCATGTAGGCTTGTGGACCAAGCAAGCTCCTGGACCAGGCACACTCCTAGACCAGGCACGCTCCTGAATAAGGTAAGCTCCTGGACCAGGCAAGCTGCTGGACCAAGCAAGCTCCTGGATCAGGCAGACTCGTGGACCAGGCACGCTCCTTGACCAGGCAAGCTCTTAGACCAGGCAGGCTCATGGACTAGGCACGCTCCTCGACCAGGCAAGCTCCTGGACCAGGCAAGCTCCTAGACTAGGCAATCTCCTGGACCAAGCACACTCATGGACCAGGCAAGCTCTTGGACCAGGAAAGCTCCTGGACCAGGCAAGCTCCTTCACCAGGCAAGCTAACGGACCAAGAAAGATCCCGGACAAGGCAAGCTCTTGGACGAGGAAAGCTCTTGGACCAGGAAAGCTCCTGGACCAGGCAAACTCCTTGACCAGGCAAGCTAACGGACCAAGAAAGATCCCGGACAAGCAAGCTCCTGCACCAAGCAAGCTCCTCGAACATGCAAGCTCTTGGACCACGACCACGTCCATTTCCACAACGTCCACGTCCACGTCCACGTCCACGACCACGTCCACGTCTAGGTCCACGTCCATGTCCACGTCCTTGTCCAGGTCCATGTCCACGTCCACGTCCACGTCCAAGACCACGTCCACGACCACGTCCACGTCCACGACCACGTCCACGACCACCTCCACGTCCACGCCCACGTCCACGTCCACGTCCACGTCCACGTCCAGGTCCACGTCCAGGTCCAGGTCCATGTCCACGTCCACGACCACGTCCACGTCCACGTCCACGTCCACGACCACGTCCACCACCACCTCCACGTCCACGTCCACGTCCAGGTCCAGGTCCACGTCCAGGTACACGTCCACGTCCACGTCCACGTCCACCTCCACGTCCACCTCCACCTCCACCTCCACCTCCACGTCCACATCCACGTCCACATCCACGTTCGCGTCCACGTCCAGGTCCACGTCCACGTCCACGTCCACGTCCACGACCACGTCCACGACCACGTCCACGTCCACGTCCACGTCCACGTCCACGACCAAGTCCACGACCACGTCCACATCCACAACGTCCACGTCCACGTCCACGACCACGTCCACGTCCAGGTCCACGTCCACGTCCACGTCTAGGTCCACGTCCACGTCCACGTCCTCGACCACGTCCACGTCCACGTCCACGTCCTCCACGTCCACGTCCACGTCCACGACCACGTCCACGTCCACGACCACGTCCACGACCACGTCCAGGTCCACGTCCAGGTCCACGTCCAGGTCCACGTCCACGTCCACGTCCACGTCCACAACGTCCACGTCCACGTCCACGACCACGAACACGTCCACGTCCACGTCCACGTCCACGACCACGTCCACGTCCACGTCCACGTCCACGTCCACGTCCTGGTCCAGGTCCAGGTCCACATCCACGTCGACGTCCACGACCACGTCCACGACCACCTCCACGTCCACTTCCACGCCCACGTCCACGTCCACGTCCACGTTCAGGTCCAGGTCCACGTCATGGTCCACGTCCACGTCCACGTCGACGTCCACCTCCACGTCCACGTCCACGTCCACCTCCACGTCCACGTCCACGTCGACGTCCAGGTCCACGTCGAGGTCCACGTCCACGTCCACGTCCACGTCCACGTCCACGACCACGTCCACGACCACCTCCACATCCACGACCACCTCCACGTCCAGGTACAAGTCCACGTCCAGGTCCACGTCCACGTCTAGGTCCACGTCCACGTCCACGTCCACCTCCACGTCCACGTCCACGTCCAGGTCCACGTCCACGTCCACGTCCAGGTCCAGGTCCAGGTCCACGTCCAGGTCCAGGTCCACGTCCACGTCCACGTCCACGACCACGTCTACGTCCACAACGTCCACGTCCACGTCCATGACCACGTCAAGGTCCACGTCCACGTCAAGGTCCACGTCCACGTCCACGTCCAAGTCCACGTCCACGTTCAGGTCCACGTCCACGTCCACGTCCACGTCCACCTCCACGTCCACCTCCACGTCCACGTCCACGTCCACGTCCACGTCCAGGTCCACGTCCAGGTCCAAGTCCACGTCCAGGACCACGTCCACGTCCAGGTCCAGGTCCACGTCCACGTCCACGTCCACGACCACGTCCACGACCACGTCCACATCCACAACGTCCACATCCACGTCCACGTCCACGACCACGTCCACCACCACGTTCACGTCCACCACCACGTCCACGTCCACGTCCAGGTCCACGTCCACGTCCATGTCCACGTGCACATCCACGTCCACGTCCACGTCCATGTCCAGGTCCACGGCCAGGTCCATGTCCAAGTCCCCGTCCACGTCCACGACCACGTCCACGTCCACGTCCATGTCCAGGTCCACGTCCACGTCCACGTCCACGTCGACGTCCACGACCACGACCACGCCCAGGTCCACGTCCACGTCCATGTCCACGTCCACGTCCAAGTTCACGTCCACGTCCAAGTCCACGTCCACGTCCATGACCACGTCCACGACCACGTCCACGTCCACGACCACGTCCACGTCCACGACCACGTCCACGACCACGTCCAGGTCCACGTCCACGTCCACGACCACGTCCACGTCCACGTCCACGTCCACGTCCAGGTCCACGTCCACGTCCACATCCACGTCCACGACCACCTCTACGTCCACGTCCACGCCCACGTCCACGTCCAGGTCCAGGTCCAGGTCCAGGTCCACGTCCACGACCACGTCCAGGTCCACGTCCACGTCCAGGTCCAGGTCCACGTCCACGTCCACGTCCACGTCCACGACCACGTCCACGTCCACGTCCACGTCCACGACCACCTCCACGTCCACGTCCACGTCCATGTCCAGGTCCAGGTCCAGGTCCAGGTCCACGTCCACGTCCACGACCACCTCCACGTCCACGTCCACGTCCACGTCCACGTCCACCTCCACGTCCACGTCCACGACCACGTCCACCTCCACGTCCACGTCCACGACCACGTCCACGTCCACGTCCACGTCCACCTCCAAGTCCACGTCCACGTCCATGTCCACGTGCACGACCACGTCCATGGCCACGTCCACGTCCACGACCACGACCACGTCCACGACCATGTCCACGTCCACGACCACGACCACGTCCATGACCACGTCCACGTCCACGTCCGCGTCCACGACCATGACCACGACCACGACCACGACTACGACCACGACCACGTCCACGTCCACGTCCACGTCCTGGTCCACGTCCACGTCCACGTCCACGTCCTGGTCCACGTCCACGACCACGTCCACAACCACGTCCAGTTCCACGTCCACGTCCACGTCCACGACCACGTCCACGTCCACGTCCACGTCCATGTCCTAGTCCACGTCCACGTCCTAGTCCACGTCCACGTCCACGTCCACGCCCACGTCCACGTCCACGCCCACGACCATGTCCACGTCCACGTCCACGTCCACGACCACGTCCACGTCCACGTCCACGTCCACGTCCTAGTCCACGTCCACGTCCACGTCCACGTCCACGTCCTAGTCCACGTCCACGTCCACGTCCACGCCCACGTCCACGTCCACGCCCACGTCCACGCCCACGTCCACGACCATGTCCATGTCCACGTCCACGTCCACGTCCACGACCACGTCCACGTCCACGTCCACGACCACGTCCACGACCACCTCCACGTCCACGTCCACGACCACGTCCACGACCACCTCCACGTCCACGTCCACGCCCACATCGACGTCCACGTCCACGTCCACGTCCACGCCCACATCGACGTCCACGTCCACGTCCACGTCCAGGTCCACGTCCACGTCCACGTCCACGACCACGTCCACGACCACGTCCACGTCCACGTCCACGTCCATGTCCACGTCCACGTCCACGTCCACGTCCTCGTCCACTACGTCCATGACCACGTCCACCTCCACGACCACGTCCACGTCCACGTCCACGTCCACGTCCACGTCCACTTCCAAGTCCACGTCCACGTCCACCTCCACGACCACGTCCACGTCCACGTCCACGTCCACGACCACGTCCACGTCCACGTCATCGTCCACGTCCACGTCCACGACCACGTCCACCTCCACGTCCACGTCCACCACGTCCACCACGTCAACCTCCACGACCACGTCCACGTCCACGTCCACGTCCACGTCCACGTCCACTTCCAAGTCCACGTCCACGTCCACCTCCACGACCACGTCCACGTCCACGTCCACGTCCACGACCACGTCCACGTCCACGTCCACGTCCACGTCCACGACCACGACCACGTCCACGACCACGTCCACGTCCACGACCACGACCACGTCCATGACCACGTCCACGTCCACGTCCACGTCCACGACCACGTCCACGTCCACGTCCACGTCCTAGTCCACGTCCACGTCCACGTCCACGCCCACGTCCACGTCGACGTCCACGTCCACGTCCAGGTCGACGTCCACGTCCACGTCCACGTCCACGTCCACGACCACGACCACGTCCACGACCACGTCCACGTCCACGTCCACGTCCACGTCCACTACGTCCATGACCACGTCCACCTCCACGACCACGTCCACGTCCACGTCCACGTCCACTACGTCCAAGTCCACGTCCACGTCCACGACCACGTCCACGTCCACGTCCACGTCCACGTCCACGTCCACGTCCAAGTCCACGTCCACGTCCACGTCCACGACCACGTCCACGTCCACGTCCACGTCCACGTCCACGACTGCGTCCACGTCCACGTCCACGTCCACGTCCACGTCCACCACGTCCACCACGTCGACGACCACGTCTACGTCCACGTCCACGACCACGTCCACCTCCACAACGTCCACGTCCACGTCCACGACCACGTCCACGTCCTCCACGTCCACGTCCACGTCCTCCACGTCCACGACCACGTCCACGTCCACGTCCTCCACGTCCACGTCCACGTCCTCCACGTCCATGACCACGTCCTCGTCCACGTCCTCCACGTCCACGTCCTCCACGTCCACGACCACGTCCTCCACGTCCACGACCACGTCCACGTCCACGTCCTCCACGTCCACGTCCACGCCCACGACCATGTCCAGGTCCACGTCCACGTCCACGACCACGTTTACGTCCACGTCCATGTCCACGTCCACGACCACGTCCACGACCACCTCCACGTCCACGTCCACGCCCATGTCGACGTCCACGTCCAGGTCCACGTCCAGGTCCACGACCAAGTTCTCGTCCACGTCCTCCACGTCCACGTCCACGTCCTCCACGTCCACGACCACGTCCACGTCCACGTCCTCCACGTCCACGTCCACGTCCTCCACGTCCACGTCCACGTCCTCCACGTCCACGTCCACGTCCTCCACGTCCACGACCACGTTCTCGTCCACGTCCTCCACGTCCAGGTTCACGTCCTCCACGTCCACGACCACGTCCACGTCCACGTCCTCCACATCCACGTCCACGTCCTCCACGTCCACGACCACGTCCACGTCCTCCACGTCCACGACCACGTTCTCGTCCACGTCCTCGTCCACGTCCACGTCCACGACCACGTCCACGTCCACGTCCACGTCCTCCACGTCCACGTCCACGTCCTCGTCCACGTCCACGTCCACGACCACGTCCACGTCCACGTCCACGTCCACGTCCTCCACGTCCACGTCCACGTCCTCCACGTCCACGACCACGTCCACGTCCTCCACGTCCACGTCCACGTCCTCCACGTCCACGACCACGTCCACGTCCACGTCCACGTCCACGTTCACGACCACGTCCACGTCCACGTCCACGTCCACGTCCACGTCCACGTCCACGTCCACGTCCACGACCACGTCCACGTCCACGTCCAGTTCCACGTCCACGTCCACGTCCACGTCCACGACCACGTCCACGTTCACGTCCACGTCCACGTCCACCTCCATGTCCACGTCCAAGTCCACGTCCAAGTCCACGTCCACGTCCAAGTCCACGTGCAAGTCCACGTCCACGTCCACGTCCACGTCCAAGTCCACGTCCAAGTCCACGTCCACGTCCACGTCCACGACCACGACCACGTCCACGTCCACGTCCACGTCCAAGTCCACGTCCAAGTCCACGTCCACGTCCACGTCCAAGTCCACGTCCACGTCCACGTCCACGTCCAAGTCCACGTCCACGTCCACGTCCACGTCCACGACCACGTCCACGTCCACGACCACGTCCACGACCACGTCCACGTCCACGACCACGTCCACGTCCACGACCACGTCCACGTCCACGTCCACGTCCAAGACCACGTCCACGTCCACGTCCAAGTCCACGTCCACGTCCACGTCCACGTCGACGACCACGTCCAGGTCCATGTGCACGTCCACGTCCACGACCACGTCCACGACCACGTCCACGTCCACGTCCACGTCCACGTCCAAGACCACGTCCACGTCCACGTCCACGTCTAGGTCCAGGTCCACGACCACGTCCACGTCCACGTCCACGACCACGTCCACGACCACGTCCACGTCCACGTCCACGTCCACGTCCACGTCCACGTCCACGTCCACGACCACCCCCACGACCACGTCCACGACCACGTCCACGACCACGTCCACGTCCACTTCCACGTCCACGTCCACGTCCACTATGTCCATGACCACGTCCACCTCCACGACCACGTCCACGTCCACGTCCACGTCCATGTCCACGACCATGTCCACGTCCACGACCACGTCCACGTCTTCGTCCACGTCCACGACCACGTCCACGTCCACGTCCACGACCACGTCCACGTCCACGTCCACGTCCACGTCCACCACGTCCACGACCATGTCCACGTCCACGTCCACGACCACGTCCACCTCCACAACGTCCACGTCCACGACCACGTCAACGTCCTCCACGTCCATGACCACGTCCACGTCCACGTCCACGTCCACGTCCACCACGTCCACCACGTCCACGACCATGTCCACGTCCAAGTCCACGACCACGTCCACCTCCACAACGTCCACGTCCACGACCACGTCCACGTCCTCCACGTCCATGACCACGTCCACGTCCACGTCCACGTCCTCCACGTCCTCGTCCACGTCCTCCACGTCCACGACCACGTCCACGTCCACGTCCTCCACGTCCACGACCACGTCCACATCCACGTCCACGTCTAGGTCCAGGTCCAGGTCCAGGTCCAGGTCCACGTCCACGTCCACGACCACGTCCACGTCCACGTCCACGTCCACGTCCTCCACGTCCACGTCCACGTCCTCCACGTCCACGTCCTCCACGTCCACGTCCACGTCCTCCACATCCACGTCCACCTCCTCCAAGTCCACGTCCACGTCCACATCCACGTCCACGACCACGTCCACGTCCACGTCCACGACGACGTCCACGTCCACGTCCACGACCACGTCCACGTCCATGTCCACGACCACGTCCACGTCCACGTCCACGTCCTCCACGTCCAGGTCCACGTCCTCCACGTCCACGTCCACGTCTACGTCGACGTCCTCCACGTCCACGTACACGTCCACGTCCTCCACGTCCACGTCCACGTCCTCCACGTCCACGTCCACGTCCACGTCCACGTCCTCCACGTCCACGTCCACGTCCTCCACGTCCACGTCCACGTCCTCCACGTCCACGTCCACGTCCTCCACGTCCACGACCACGTTCTCGTCCACGTCCTCCACGTCCAGGTTCACGTCCTCCACGTCCACGACCACGTCCACGTCCACGTCCTCCACATCCACGTCCACGTCCTCCACGTCCACGACCACGTCCACGTCCTCCACGTCCACGACCACGTTCTCGTCCACGTCCTCGTCCACGTCCACGTCCACGACCACGTCCACGTCCACGTCCACGTCCTCCACGTCCACGTCCACGTCCTCGTCCACGTCCACGTCCACGACCACGTCCACGTCCACGTCCACGTCCACGTCCTCCACATCCACGTCCACGTCCTCCACGTCCACGACCACGTCCACGTCCTCCACGTCCACGTCCACGTCCTCCACGTCCACGACCACGTCCACGTCCACGTCCACGTCCACGTTCACGACCACGTCCACGTCCACGTCCACGTCCACGTCCACGTCCACGACCACGTCCACGTCCACGTCCAGTTCCACGTCCACGTCCACGTCCACGTCCACGACCACGTCCACGTCCACGTCCACGTCCACGTCCACGTCCACCTCCACGTCCACGTCCAAGTCCACGTCCAAGTCCACGTCCACGTCCAAGTCCACGTGCAAGTCCACGTCCACGTCCACGTCCACGTCCACGTCCAAGTCCACGTCCAAGTCCACGTCCACGTCCACGTCCACGACCACGACCACGTCCACGTCCACGTCCACGTCCAAGTCCACGTCCAAGTCCACGTCCACGTCCACGTCCAAGTCCACGTCCACGTCCACGTCCACGTCCAAGTCCACGTCCACGTCCACGTCCACGACCACGTCCACGTCCACGACCACGTCCACGACCACGTCCACGTCCACGACCACGTCCACGTCCACGACCACGTCCACGTCCACGTCCACGTCCAAGACCACGTCCACGTCCACGTCCAAGTCCACGTCCACGTCCACGTCCACGTCGACGACCACGTCCAGGTCCATGTGCACGTCCACGTCCACGACCACGTCCACGACCACGTCCACGTCCACGTCCACGTCCAAGACCACGTCCACGTCCACGTCCACGTCTAGGTCCAGGTCCACGACCACGTCCACGTCCACGTCCACGACCACGTCCACGACCACGTCCACGTCCACGTCCACGTCCACGTCCACGTCCACGTCCACGACCACCTCCACGACCACGTCCACGACCACGTCCACGACCACGTCCACGTCCACTTCCACGTCCACGTCCACGTCCACTATGTCCATGACCACGTCCACCTCCACGACCACGTCCACGTCCACGTCCACGTCCATGTCCACGACCATGTCCACGTCCACGACCACGTCCACGTCTTCGTCCACGTCCACGACCACGTCCACGTCCACGTCCACGACCACGTCCACGTCCACGTCCACGTCCACGTCCACCACGTCCACCACGTCCACGACCATGTCCACGTCCACGTCCACGACCACGTCCACCTCCACAACGTCCACGTCCACGACCACGTCAACGTCCTCCACGTCCATGACCACGTCCACGTCCACGTCCACGTCCACGTCCACCACGTCCACCACGTCCACGACCATGTCCACGTCCAAGTCCACGACCACGTCCACCTCCACAACGTCCACGTCCACGACCACGTCCACGTCCTCCACGTCCATGACCACGTCCACGTCCACGTCCACGTCCTCCACGTCCTCGTCCACGTCCTCCACGTCCACGACCACGTCCACGTCCACGTCCTCCACGTCCACGACCACGTCCACATCCACGTCCACGTCTAGGTCCAGGTCCAGGTCCACGTCCACGTCCACGTCCACGACCACGTCCACGTCCACGTCCACGTCCACGTCCTCCACGTCCACGTCCACGTCCTCCACGTCCACGTCCTCCACGTCCACGTCCACGTCCTCCACATCCACGTCCACCTCCTCCAAGTCCACGTCCACGTCCACATCCACGTCCACGACCACGTCCACGTCCACGTCCACGACGACGTCCACGTCCACGTCCACGACCACGTCCACGTCCATGTCCACGACCACGTCCACTTCCACGTCCACGTCCTCCACGTCCAGGTCCACGTCCTCCACGTCCACGTCCACGTCTACGTCGACGTCCTCCACGTCCACGTACACGTCCACGTCCTCCACGTCCACGTCCACGTCCTCCACGTCCACGTCCACGTCCACGTCCACGTCCACGTCCACGTCCACGTCCACGTCCACGTCCCTGTCCACGTCCACGTCCACGACCACGTCCACGTCCACGTCCCTGTCCACGTCCACGTCCACGTTCACGTCCACGTCCACGACCACGTCCACGTCCACGTCCACGACCAGGTCCACGTCCACGTACACGTCCACGTCCACGACCACGCCCACGTCCACCTCCACGTCCACGTCCACGCCCACGTCCACGTCCACGTCCACGTCCACGTCCAGGTCCACGTCCACGACCACGTCCACGTCCACGTCCACGTCCTCCACGTCCAGGTCCACGTCCTCCAAGACCACGTCCACGTCCTCCACGTTCACGTCCACGTTCTCCACGTCCACGTCCACGTCCACAACCACGTCGACGTCCACGTCCACGTCCACGACCACGTCCACGTCCACGTCCACGACCACGTCCACGACCACGTCCTTGCCACGTCCAGGTCCACGTCCACATACACGTCAACGTCCACGTCCACAACCACGACCACATCCACGTCCACGTCCACTACCACGTCCACGTCCATGTCCACGACCACGTCCACGTCCACGTCCACGTCTACGACCAGGTCCACGTCCACGACCACGTCCACGTCCACTACCACGCCCACGTCCACCTCCATGTCCACGTCCACGCCCACGTCCACGTCCACGTCCACGTCCAAGTCCACGTCCAGGTCCACGTCCACGTCCACGTCCATGTCCACGTCCACGACCACGACCACGTCCACGACCACGTCCACGTCCACGTCCAGGTCCACGTCCACGTCCACGTCCACCTCCACGTCTAGGTCCACGTCCAGGTCCACGTCCACGTCCAGGTCCACGTCCACGTCCACGTCCTCCACGTCCACGACCACGTCCACGTCCACGTCCAGGTCCACGTCCACGTCCACGTCCACGACCACGTCCACGACCACGTCCACGTCCACGTCCACGTCCACGTCCACGACCAAGTCCACGACCACGTCCACATCCACAACGTCCACGTCCACGTCCACGACCACGTCCACGTCCAGGTCCACGTCCACGTCCACGTCCAGGTCCACGTCCACGTCCACGTCCTCGACCACGTCCACGTCCACGTCCACGTCCACATCCACAACGTCCACGTCCACGTCCACGTCCACGTCCACGTCCACGTCCACGTCCACGTCCATGTCCACGTCCACGACCACGACCACGTCCACGACCACGTCCACGTCCACGTCCAGGTCCACGTCCACGTCCACGTCCACGTCCACCTCCACGTCTAGGTCCACGTCCAGGTCCACGTCCACGTCCAGGTCCACGTCCACGTCCACGTCCTCCACGTCCACGACCACGTCCACGTCCACGTCCACGACCACGTCCACGTTCACGACCACGTCCACGTCCACGTCCACGTCCACGTCCACGTCCACGTCCACTTCCAAGTCCACGTCCACGTCCACCTCCACGACCACGTCCACGTCCACGTCCACGTCCACGACCACGTCCACGTCCACGTCCACGTCCACGTCCACGACCACGACCACGTCCACGACCACGTCCACGTCCACGACCACGACCACGTCCATGACCACGTCCACGTCCACGTCCACGTCCACGACCACGACCACGTCCACGTCCACGTCCACGTCCACGTCCTAGTCCACGTCCACGTCCACGTCCACGCCCACGTCCACGTCGACGTCCACGTCCACGTCCAGGTCGACGTCCACGTCCACGTCCACGTCCACGTCCACGACCACGACCACGTCCACGACCACGTCCACGTCCACGTCCACGTCCACTACGTCCAAGTCCACGTCCACGTCCACGACCACGTCCACGTCCACGTCCACGTCCACGTCCACGTCCAAGTCCACGTCCACGTCCACGTCCACGACCACGTCCACGTCCACGTCCACGTCCACGTCCACGACTACGTCCACGTCCACGTCCACGTCCACGTCCACGTCCACCACGTCCACCACGTCGACGACCACGTCTACGTCCACGTCCACGACCACGTCCACCTCCACAACGTCCACGTCCACGTCCACGACCACGTCCACGTCCTCCACGTCCACGTCCACGTCCTCCACGTCCACGACCACGTCCACGTCCCGTCCTCCACGTCCACGTCCACGTCCTCCACGTCCATGACCACGTCCTCGTCCACGTCCTCCACGTCCACGTCCTCCACGTCCACGACCACGTCCTCCACGTCCACGACCACGTCCACGTCCACGTCCTCCACGTCCACGTCCACGCCCACGACCATGTCCAGGTCCACGTCCACGTCCACGACCACGTTTACGTCCACGTCCACGTCCACGTCCACGACCACGTCCACGACCACCTCCACGTCCACGTCCACGCCCATGTCGACGTCCACGTCCAGGTCCACGTCCAGGTCCACGACCAAGTTCTCGTCCACGTCCTCCACGTCCACGTCCACGTCCTCCACGTCCACGACCACGTCCACGTCCACGTCCTCCACGTCCACGTCCACGTCCTCCACGTCCACGTCCACGTCCTCCACGTCCACGTCCACGTCCTCCACGTCCACGACCACGTTCTCGTCCACGTCCTCCACGTCCAGGTTCACGTCCTCCACGTCCACGACCACGTCCACGTCCACGTCCTCCACGTCCACGTCCACGTCCTCCACGTCCACGACCACGTCCACGTCCTCCACGTCCACGACCACGTTCTCGTCCACGTCCTCGTCCACGTCCACGTCCACGACCACGTCCACGTCCACGTCCACGTCCTCCACGTCCACTTCCACGTCCTCGTCCACGTCCACGTCCACGACCACGTCCACGTCCACGTCCTCCACGTCCACGTCCACGTCCTCCACGTCCACGACCACGTCCACGTCCTCCACGTCCACGTCCACGTCCTCCACGTCCACGACCACGTCCACGTCCACGTCCACGTCCACGTCCACGTTCACGACCACGTCCACGTCCACGTCCACGTCCACGTCCACGTCCACGACCACGTCCACGTCCACGTCCAGTTCCACGTCCACGTCCACGTCCACGTCCACGACCACGTCCACGTCCACGTCCACGTCCACGTCCACGTCCACCTCCACGTCCACGTCCAAGTCCACGTCCAAGTCCACGTCCACGTCCAAGTCCACGTGCAAGTCCACGTCCACGTCCACGTCCACGTCCACGTCCAAGTCCACGTCCAAGTCCACGTCCACGTCCACGTCCACGACCACGACCACGTCCACGTCCACGTCCACGTCCAAGTCCACGTCCAAGTCCACGTCCATGTCCACGTCCAAGTCCACGTCCACGTCCACGTCCACGTCCAAGTCCACGTCCACGTCCACGTCCACGACCACGTCCACGTCCACGACCACGTCCACGACCACGTCCACGTCCACGACCACGTCCACGTCCACGACCACGTCCACGTCCACGTCCACGTCCAAGACCACGTCCACGTCCACGTCCAAGTCCACGTCAACGTCCACGTCCACGTCGACGACCACGTCCAGGTCCATGTGCACGTCCACGTCCACGACCACGTCCACGACCACGTCCACGTCCACGTCCACGTCCACGTCCAAGACCACGTCCACGTCCACGTCCACGTCCACGTCCACGTCTAGGTCCAGGTCCACGACCACATCCACGTCCACGTCCACGACCACGTCCACGACCACGTCCACGTCCACGTCCACGTCCACGTCCACGTCCACGACCACCTCCCTGACCACGTCCACGACCACGTCCACGACCACGTCCACGTCCACTTCCACGTCCACGTCCACGTCCACTATGTCCATGACCACGTCCACCTCCACGACCACGTCCACGTCCACGTCCACGTCCATGTCCACGACCATGTCCACGTCCACGACCACGTCCACGTCTTCGTCCACGTCCACGACCACATCCACGTCCACGTCCACGACCACGTCCACGTCCACGTCCACGTCCACGTCCACCACGTCCACCACGTCCACGACCATGTCCACGTCCACGTCCACGACCACGTCCACCTCCACAACGTCCACGTCCACGACCACGTCAACGTCCTCCACGTCCATGACCACGTCCACGTCCACGTCCACGTCCACGTCCACCACGTCCACCACGTCCACGACCATGTCCACGTCCAAGTCCACGACCACGTCCACCTCCACAACGTCCACGTCCACGACCACGTCCACGTCCTCCACGTCCATGACCACGTCCACGTCCACGTCCACGTCCTCCACGTCCTCGTCCACGTCCTCCACGTCCACGACCACGTCCACGTCCACGTCCTCCACGTCCACGACCACGTCCACATCCACGTCCACGTCTAGGTCCAGGTCCAGGTCCACGTCCACGTCCACGTCCACGACCACGTCCACGTCCACGTCCACGTCCACGTCCTCCACGTCCACGTCCACGTCCTCCACGTCCACGTCCTCCACGTCCACGTCCACGTCCTCCACATCCACGTCCACCTCCTCCAAGTCCACGTCCACGTCCACATCCACGTCCACGACCACGTCCACGTCCACGTCCACGACGACGTCCACGTCCACGTCCACGACCACGTCCACGTCCATGTCCACGACCACGTCCACGTCCACGTCCACGTCCTCCACGTCCAGGTCCACGTCCTCCACGTCCACGTCCACGTCTACGTCGACGTCCTCCACGTCCACGTCCACGTCCACGTCCTCCACGTCCACGTCCACGTCCTCCACGTCCACGTCCACGTCCACGTCCACGTCCACGTCCCTGTCCACGTCCACGTCCACGACCACGTCCACGTCCACGTCCCTGTCCACGTCCACGTCCACGTTCACGTCCACGTCCACGTCCACGACCACGTCCACGTCCACGTCCACGACCAGGTCCACGTCCACGTACACGTCCACGTCCACGACCACGCCCACGTCCACCTCCACGTCCACGTCCACGCCCACGTCCACGTCCACGTCCACGTCCAGGTCCACGTCCACGACCACGTCCACGTCCACGTCCACGTCCTCCACGTCCAGGTCCACGTCCTCCACGACCACGTCCACGTCCTCCACGTTCACGTCCACGTTCTCCACGTCCACGTCCACGTCCACAACCACGTCGACGTCCACGTCCACGTCCACGACCACGTCCACGTCCACGTCCACGACCACGTCCACGACCACGTACACGTCCACTATGGCCATGACCACGTCCACCTCCACGACCACGTCCACGTCCACGTCCACGTCCACGTCCACGTCTAGGTCCACGACCATGTCCACGTCCACGACCACGTCCACGTCTTCGTCCACGTCCACGACCACGTCCACGTCCACGTCCACGACCACGTCCACGTCCACGTCCACGTCCACCACGTCCACCACGTCCACGACCATGTCCACGTCCACGTCCACGACCACGTCCACCTCCATAACGTCCACGTCCACGTCCACGACCACGTCCACGTCCTCCACGTCCATGACCACGTCCACGTCCACGTCCACGTCCACCACGTCCACCACGTCCACGACCATGTCCACGTCCACGTCCACGACCACGTCCACCTCCACAACGTCCACGTCCACGACCACGTCCACGTCCTCCACGTCCATGACCACGTCCACGTCCACGTCCACGTCCTCCACGTCCTCGTGTCCACGTCCACGTCCACGACCACATCCACCTCCACAACGTCCACGTCCACGACCACGTCCACGTCCTCCATGTCCATGACCACGTCCACGTCCACGTCCACGTCCTCCACGTCCTCGTCCACGTCCTCCATGTCCACGACCACGTCAACGTCCATGTCCTCCATGTCCACGTCCACGTCCACGTCCTCCACGTCCACGACCACGTCCACGTCCACGTCCTCCACGTCCACGACCACGTCCACGTCCACGTCCACGTCTAGGTCCACGTCCACGTCCACGTCCTCCACGTCCACGTCCACGTCCACGTCCACGTCCACGACCACGTCCACGTCCACGTCCACGTCCTCCACGTCCACGTCCACGTCCTCCACGTCCACGTCCTCCACGTCCACATCCACGTCCTCCACGTCCACGTCCACCTCCTCCAAGTCCACGTCCACGTCCACGTCCACGTCCACGACCATGTCCACGTCCACGTCCACGACGACGTCCACGTCCACGTCCACGACCACGTCCACGTCCATGTCCACGACCACGTCCACGTCCACGTCCACGTCCTCCACGTCCAGGTCCACGTCCTCCACGTCCACGTCTACGTCGACGTCCTCCACGTCCACGTCCACGTCCTCCACGTCCACGTCCACGTCCTCCACGTCCACGTCCACGTCCACGTCCCTGTCCACGTCCACGTCCACGACCACGTCCACGTCCACGTCCCTGTCCACGTCCACGTCCACGTTCACGTCCACGTCCACGTCCACGACCACATCCACGTCCACGTCCACGACCAGGTCCACGTCCACCTACACGTCCACGTCCACAACCACGCCCACGTCCACCTCCACGTCCACGTCCACGCCCACGTCCACGTCCACGTCCACGTCCACGTCCACGTCCAGGTCCACGTCCACGACCACGTCCACGTCCACGTCCACGACCACGTCCACGACCACGTCCTTGCCACGTCCAGGTCCACGTCGACGTACACGTCAACGTCCACGTCCACGACCACGACCACATCCACGTCCACGTCCACGACCACGTCCACGTCCATGTCCACGACCACGTCCACGTCCACGTCCATGTCCACGACCATGTCCACGTCCACGACCACGTCCACGTCCACTACCACGCCCACGTCCACCTCCATGTCCACGTCCACGCCCACGTCCACGTCCACGTCCACGTCCACGTCCAAGTCCACGTCCAGGTCCACGTCCACGTCCACGTCCATGTCCACGTCCACGACCACGACCACGTCCATGACCACGTCCACGTCCACGTCCAGGTCCACGTCCACGTCCACGTCCACGTCCACCTCCACGTCTAGGTCCACGTCCAGGTCCACGTCCACGTCCAGGTCCACGTCCACGTCCACGTCCACGTCCACGTCCAGGTCCACGTCCACGTCCACGTCCAGGTCCACCTCCATGTCCACGTCCACGTCCTGGTCCACGTCCACGTCCACGTCCAGGTCCACGTCCACGTCCACGACCACGTCCACGTCCACGTCCACGTCCACGACCACGAGCACGTCCACGACCACGTCCACGTCCACGTTCACGTCCAGTTCCACCTACACGTCCACGTCCACCTCCACCTCCACGTCCACGTCCATGACCACGTCCACCTCCACGACCACGTCCACGTCCATGTCCACGTCCACGTCCAAGTCCACGTCCACGTCCACGACCACGTCCACGTCCACGTCCACGTCCACGACCACGTCCTCGTCCACGTCCACGATCACTTCTACGTCCACGTCCACGACCACGTCCACGTCCACGTCTACGTCCACCACGTCCACCACGTCCACGACCACGTCCACGTCCAAGTCCACGTCCACGTCCTCCACGTCCACGTCCACCTCCTCCAGTCCACACGTCCACGTCCACGTCCACGTCCACGACCACGTCCACGTCCACGTCCACGTCCACGTCCACGTCCACGTCCACGTCC